GTAGGTCATTATTCACCTTCTGATCTTGCTGAGAGTAATTGTCAACACTGATACACTCCTTGCTTCAGTTTTCGGAGCCAGCCCCTTGTTTAGCAATTGCCAAACTGACCACTAGGTTGTGTTTACTAAATAGTGTCCAAGGAAAAGGCAGTTCCACTCCACGGGAAGAAGCATTTCCACAGAATGACGCCCTTCCGCGCTACCAAAGGCTGGTACCCAAGTTACTGCATTACTTTCCAAGGTCCAGCCTCACTGGGACTTGTGACAAGTACCACCAAAGAACTGGAGCTATATGTCTGACTTTGTCTGCTTCCCCTGCTATTCCAAGTACCACAACGACTACATTCAACAATTGTTGGGTTTCCCTGGCTGCAAGCCTTGCTTGACCTCGGGAGAGAAAAAATAACTCTTATTTCCTTTTCCTTTCCACTCCCTCTTCCTTCAGCCACTTCATATCACAGATGGGCAAAGCAAAACCTGGCCCTATACATAACTTTACTTTTCAAATATTTACACAGATTTTCTAAAGGTTAGGAAGAAATTTATTTGCAGTAATGTCAGCAAATACTAAACTATTTCACCAAAGATTCACACAGCTAAAGAAAGAACTCAGGGAGACAGGAGATACTTGTGTTTCATATCCTATGCAATAAGGTTTGAGATGCATGGACCAAAATCCCAAACTTTTTTGGCTAAGATGAAGTAAAACTGTTGCTGGATTCAAAAAGTAAGGGGAAGATATTAGCGTTTCTTCTCTGGTAATCTCCACGGCAGACGAAGTGCAACAAATAGTATAAATATGACCAACTAATAAACAGAAAGCTGATCAATTGTCCAATTTTCATCTGTCATTCCTAGATTTCTTGTGTCAGTTCCATAACTTTATCTAGTCTGCTATCTTTATTTTCTCCTCAATAGAATGCGTTCTGTGTGATGACATTTTATTATTGCTTGGCTATTGTTGCTGAACTAACAGCTGTCGTGTATGAATTGTTTGGCATTACACAAGGGAATATAGTAAATATGAAATCAAACATGCATTTTTAAATAAAACCTGCAGGGATACCAGTATGTATTCCAGTCTCTTTCTTGGGTTTCTATGTTGTTCTTTTTTTTAATTTGGATAGCTAAATCCATTGGATTGTCTTGTATTCTAGACTCCTTGTGTACTGCATTTACGATTTATACAAGCATATGCATTATATAATAGCAACTGAATACAACAATGAATTACAATTTCTTTGTTGAAACAGATAAATGCAAAACTACATTTATATGCAAAAGTATATGGGCAAATATATGAAGATATATGCAAAAAATAATGATGTTTATATTCCATAAGTGAGATGCACTTACGGAAGTGAAGCTCTGGTCAGCAGAGCAGGATGAGTCTATGAGACAGTTTAGCAGTTATGTAAGCCTTCGAAACAGGGCTTAACTGGTAAGCAGATAGATGAATTTCACCTCAACGGCAATAACTGGGCTAGAGAAGGCACAGTTCATTGATGTCGCAGTCTTCCTACACCTTAACTCATTACCACTTCCTCTCTCCTCCAGCCATTCAATGCATCTCGTGCTTCTTCTCAAATTTTCTGGGGGATGCAGAATAGAAATAACCAGATTTTAATCAGAAAATGAAGCACAGATTCATAAAGGACTTACAAAGATATGTGTGCAAAACAAGGAATTCATTCGCTACTTCCCATGGGCAGGCAGGTGTTCAGCCATCTCCAGGAAAGCAGGGCTCCATCACGCGTAACCGTTACTTGGGAAGACAAACGCCATCACTCTGAACGTCCCCCTCTTCCTTCCTCTTCCCCCAGCTCTATACGCTGAGCATGACGTCATATGGTGTGGAATGTCCCTTTGGCCAGTTGGGGTCAGCTGTCCCGGCTGTGTCCCCTCCCAACTTCTTGTGCACCCTCAGCCTCCTCGCTGGTGGGGCGGGGTGAGGAGCAGAAAAGTCCTTGACTCTGTGTCAGCACTGCTCAGCAGTGACTAAAACATCCCTGTGCTATCAACACTGTTTCCACCACAAATCCAAAACGTAGCCCCATACTAGCTACTGTGAAGAAAATCAACTCTACCCCAGCAGAAAACAGCACAATATGCTCTGCTGACGGGGTTAATGTTCGTTCTTGCTTGTAATACATTTGGCTTATATCTCTATCAAAATACAAATGGCACTTTGTTCAGGGGTCTCCTCAATACTGTAGCTCTTCTGACTTGCATGTTGTGTTGAAACTTCTGCCGATGACACTAAAAAACTATTTTGAAGTAGGGAATGTCATCAAGTAAAGGCTTGTACCCGAGAAGCCAGCGTAAACCCTACGGCTAACAGTTACGACTCCCTCTCAGTGATGAACTAATTCTCCAAGCAGTGAACTTGCAGCTGGCCTAGAGCTTTGGCTAGTATGGTTAAAGACAGGACAAAGAGGAGATCCTTTTCACAAACGGAGGGTGATTCTGCTACTGCTTACAATACAGACAAGGTAAGTAGAGATGTGTAAAAGCATCTAGTTTAAGGATTATAATCAAACCAAGTCTCACAGACTTTCTATGTTTACTACTGCATTTCTTTTCAAATAACTGTAACTTTATAGTGCTTTCAAGAGGAAAAATTCTGTTTAAGAAATTCCTTTGCTAAACGCATATTCACTGCATTTCTTTCACTTTTTTGCTGATTAATATGTCTAAGAACCGAAGTTCCTACATGCACATAGACTTCTAGGAGTTGGAACTAAACTTAAAAAAAGTGAAAGAGGGCTGCGGCAGCGCATGCAGCTTTTAAGGCATATATGACAGCATCCCCCAGTTAGAAAAAGGTATCAGGTATGGGTTTTTATTTCTGGATGCATGCCTGAGAGATCCAGTATTAGTCACTAAGTAGGCAAAAGCCATTTAGAATTTGGGCCTGAAGCTAACCAACGAGTGTACCTCTAGAAAAGGCATGTATCAGGTAAAGGGGAGAAATGCCCGACTAAACCAAGTACTTTAGGTAACAGAACTTGTAGAGAAAGACGGAAGTGTGAAAATTTTTCTGCTTCAGTGGTGAGATAGGAGTAAGGATAACATTGGCAAATCGTTGGTAAAATTGAAAGATCAGATTCACAAGCTAGTGACTACAAATATGGCAACAGAAGTACCCAGCAACGTTTTAAAAAATGTGGTCACAACTTGGCTCCTTGATGCATATTCAAATATCTAAGTAAGTATCCAGAATTTCAAATAAGTATCCAGAATTTTAAATATGTTTTCACCAGACTTATTAGCTCAGGATTATTTAGTCTTCCTAAAAAAGGAAGAAATTGGATTTAGCTTATTAAAAAAATCCAAACTTGCTTACCATTTCTGCAGACTGTAAAATTAACCACTGAAAAATTCGTATTTATGCATGTACTGGGAGCATTTACAAAACAATGCAAGGACACTTGACAATTTGCCTTTCAGAGTCTTTTGTTTTATTTTTCTTTAATGACATTAGGTAAAGGAACAAGGACAAAATCATGTGTTCCAAAACTTCTCAGTTTATAAGTGAAATCAGTAATTAATCCAACTTGAAAGGGTATAGGTTTTTATTTCCTTGCAAGTAACATTCCAGCTACTTCAGTTGAATACCGTTTAATCCCTGACAAGAATCTGCAAAGCCCGACATATTTAACATTTCTGTGGTTCAGAAATACAAAGAAAACACAGAAAAATCACGAGCTGTATAGCACCACCACCACCACCACCACCCCCGTACAAATTTTCTTTGGCTGTATGGTGGAGTGCCCCCTCCTTCTCATTAATAAGAGCATTGCTGCCCTTAAACGGTATCTGTACATTTTCATATTGTTGCCAGACTGGGTACAGTCACAGCAGAGCAGCTGTAGCTCCAAGGGTGTTCAGGGTGATGCTTGCCAGAGGGGGTTA